GCCAAATTGAAGGGTATGGATTTGATGGGTGCACTGTTCAGTGGATGGTCGCATCCAGAGGGTAGTACTCAATGGCTTGAAGTCCAGTTGTCACTGCTCTCCATCTGGTGTCCCTCAAGGGTCCGTGCTGGGACTGATACTGTTTAACATTTTTATCAATTATATAGAGAGAGGGATTAAATGCACCATCAGCAAGTTTGCAGACAACACCAGGCTGTGTGGTGGTGTCAATACACCAGAGGGATGGGATGTCATCCAGAAGGCCCTGGACAGGCTGGAGAGGTGGGCCCAGGTGAACCTCATGAGGTTTACCAAGAGCAAGTGCAAGGTTCTGCACCTGGGCCAGAACAATCTTCTCCCTCAGTACAGGCTAGGCGGTGAGGTATTAGAAAGCAGCCCTGAGGAAAGGGACTTGGGGGTGCTGGTGGAGGAGAAGCTGGACATGAGCAGGCAGTGGGCACTTGCAGCCCAGAAGGCCAATCCCATCCTGGGCTGCATCAAAAGAAGCGTTGCCAGCAGGTCCAGAGAGGGGATTCTGCCACTTTACTCTGCTCTGGTGAGACCTCACCTGGAGTCTTGTGTGCAGGGCTGGAGCCCTCAATATAAGAAGGACATGGACCTGATGGAGCAGGTCCAGAGGAGGGCCACGAGGATAATCAGGGGGTTGGAGCAGCTCTGCTACAAGGACAGGCTGAGGGAGCTGGGGTTGTTCAGCCTGGAGAAGAGGAGGCTCTGAGCAGACCTAATAGTGGCCTTCCAGTACCTGAAGGGAGCCTACAGGAAGGCTGGGGAGAGCCTGTTTAGAAAGGCCTGCAGTGACAGGACGAGGGGCAATGGCTTCAAGCTGGAGGGGAACAGATTTAGATTGGAGATGAAGAGAAAGTTCTTTACTGTGAGGGTGGTGGAGCACTGGAACAGGTTGCCCAGGGGTAAGGCCTCTGGGGTTGAGGCCCCTTGGGGTAAGGGCCCAGGGGTTGAGGCCCCATCCCTGGAGATATTCAAGGAGAGGCTCGACGAGGCTCTGGGCAACCTGGTCTAGTTGGGGGTGTCCCTGCTGACTGTGGGGAGGTCAGACTAGATGACCTTTGGAGGTCCCTTCTGGTCTGGATGATTCTATGACACACCGGTTTTAGTGCTGAAGAGCTCTGCACACACCAGAACCATCTACAGGGCTTGGGGCCTTCACCACCAGTTCCAAGGCCAAAGTCTAGCTCCGCATCTTCCCCTTCCTAACAGCAACAGACAGAACAGCCCCCACCTGTGCGTCTTCTCTATTGCTTCTTTTTCCATGCCATCTTCCAGCGTCGCTTCATGGATCAGCAGGGTAGCATTCTTCCCTGGGAAAATAATCATATATTCAGCCTTGGGTTGAATATAGACTAGTCCAACCGCCTGCACAAGCTCTCATTTCCCACCTCATTCCCTCACTGTGTCCCAGAAATAGCACAAGGGTATGGGGGGGGCAGGGGAGGGGGTGCTGCTTCAGATATTAACAGTTCAAGACCTTGCTCCAAGAGACTCTTCAAGCAGAGGGTTTTTGTCACCTACCCATTTGTACCAAGGCCATGCAGGGCATTGTGTCACCAGAATAGACTACTTTCCAGCCAGATTTATGGACCATTGAGCATGCAAAAGCGTTTTTACAGTGCTGGACTTCACAAGTCTGAAACTGAACAAGGATACAGGTGTTAGACCTCAAGTCCCCTCTCACCCCCCCCGAGCAGCCGCTCTGCCAGCTCCTGAGCTTACCTCTGCCAGCTCGTAGCTCTCTAACAGGGAGCTGACAAACCATTTAGCTTTAGGTTTGATGTTCTCACAGCCTTTCACGAGAGACTGGGAAGGAATCATTCTGTGACAGAGGGGAGAAGAGAGAATTAAGGACAGGTACAAAGTAAAACCTGATCTTGTCTTTAAGCAGCCACTTTCTCCTTCTCAGTTCAATGCCTCACAAACGACATTTTTGTGCCCCCATCTGTTTTCCCCCTGCTTTCACTATCCAGTGTCCCAGTAACTCATCCAACAACTTCTTCCCCACTGTCAAATACTCTCTTTTCCAAGAGAGTTGCCCAACTCCTCTTTCCTAAGGAAAAGGAAAGCCTGCACATAAACCTTTAAGTAACACAACTGAGTAACAAACCTTATCTCCCCCTTTGCAAACTGACCACCCTAATTCTACACGCAGTGGAAGGAGACAGAGTTGCTTTCAGTGAAGGGGTGTGAGGAATGGACGACAGTAGTTTGCTTCAAATAAGGACCCAGCAACACTGTTTCTCCACATAGCACAGAGAACACTCACTTGATGTCTCCCAGGATCTCTTCGCAGTGGTTGTGATACTCGTGTAGCCAAGGCATGATCTGCTCAGGTGCTACCAGAAACAGAGGGCTGAAAGCCCGACCAAGGGCTGCCTGGAAAAGCAAAGGTGATGGGAAAAAAACCCCTCAGTCGGTACTAGGCACACACCAAATCAGAGAGAAGAAACATTCAGGGAAATAGTGGTGCTTTTCCACTACTCAGAAGTTCCCCTCCCCTCACTCCAAGGCGAGCTCAGGAGCAGTGAAACAGCAGGACCACTTACAAAAGCTCTCCGTCTCTCCATCAGGATGTTCACCAAGCCCTGCAAAGGGAATAAACAAGACAGCACAGTCAAACATCTGGAGTGCAAGTGGCAACAGCACGGCCGCAGCTCAGCAAGCTGTTTTTGGAAAACCTATAGCCAGAGATTACTGCTTTTCCAGTAACTGCAGCTGCCTGAGCTGCTGTAACACCCTCGATGCTGTAACACCCTCACTGCTTATGCCCCCAGGCTGGTGGCCAGCAGCCCACAATTAGCCCTCAGCCCTTCCCAGTGCTGCTGTGTGTGCTCCCAAGAGAAGGACAGGGAGCAGAGAGTCTCTGCCCAACATCTCAGACCTGGTGCAGTTTCGGGACACAAGAGAGCAGACAGCAACCACCCTGTCCTGCTCAGGCCCAGACCAACTGCTCCTTCTGTTCTATTTATTGCAAAGCACTGAAGGAAGCTGGGTTGGACAGTGCAAAAAATTACAAGTCTGGATGACCCCAGAAAGTCTGCAGGGACCCCTAACAGGAAGGGAGAGGGGATTAGAAACAGATTCAGTAGCTCCTGGGCAACGCAGAGGGGAAGCGCAGCCCGAACAGCAGGGCAGCACACAGTCATCAGCTGCGGTACACCCGAACCCCAAGGAGGAGAGCAGGCCTGCACAGAACCCCTTCTTCCAACACACCCAACCTACCGAGTGATGATCCGTGTGCATGTGAGACACAAACACAGCTACTATGTTACACAGCACTTGGTCAATTTGCTCTCCATAGTGGCGACAGAGCTGTCCGAATGTTCCTTCTCCACAGTCCAGGAGCAGGGATCGGGTAGAGCTGACAAGACAAGTAACAAAAACATTTACCAGCCACTGTACAAGCTCTGACCAGGGCCCATTTAGGGAGGAGGATCTTCTGGGTTGGAAGGCAGAGAGCTCTCAGTGCTCTACACCTCTGAATGCTACTCCAGTCGTACGAGCCAAGGCTTTAGAGAGACTGTTCTGCCTGCATAGCTCATTCTGGTCTTGTGTTGACGCTGAACACACCCTTGGTGCAGATGGTAAAATGAACAAAGACATTAAATGGACATGGACCTGTTGGGGATGGTCTGGAGGAGTCTGCGAAGATGCTCCAAGGGCTGGAGCCCCTCTGCTGTGAGGACAGGCTGAGGGAGCTGGGGGGGTTCAGCCTGGAGAAGAGAAGGCTCCAGGGAGACCTTAGAGTCCCTTCCAGACCCCAAAGCAGCTCCAGGAGAGATGGGGAGGGACTCTGGATCAGGGAGGGGAGCCACAGGACGAGGGGGAAGGGTTTGACACTGAAAGAGGGGAGACTGAAATGAGATCTGGGGAAGAACCTCTTTGGTGTGAGGGTGGTGAGAGCCTGGCCCAGGTTGCCCAGAGAAGCTGTGGCTGCCCCATCCCTGGAGGGGTTCAAGGTCAGCTTGGACAGGGTTTTAAGCAACCTGGTCTGGTGAGTGGTGTCCCTGCCCAGGGCAGGGGATGGCACTAGACGATTTTTAAGGTCCATTCCAACTCAAACCATTCTGTGATTCTAAATATTTGGCTTTAGAGGTAGCTCTTGAGTCTTCCCCACCCAAAGAGAGAGTTGCTCAAAACTGAAATCCTACAGACTCCACAACAGGGACACTCTCCCCGTGTTACCAACACACTGGGCAAAACAGGCCTTGGGAAACTACCTCCTGAGACACTGAGCCTCTTCAAGCAGAATGCATGACATCAGGATTTACCTGGTGTTTACCAGTGTAGAACTGACGTTTCGAATTTTCATGGGAATTGCAGACCCCGTTCCCAAGAACACAATTTCAGGATAAGCATCCACATTTCCTGAAGAAAACAGACAACAAGGATTTGCAGATAAATGTTACCTACACACTGCCCAATCAGACACCACTTAGTTGAAGAGCCCAGTAACTCCAGAGCCTACATGTCCAACATGGTCAGTTTTGCCTGCCTGAGCCTCTGGCTTTCCTGCAGCAGCAAGGCTTACAGGGGAAGACAGAATGAGCCCCACCAAGAGCCCATCACAACACACAACTGCGTGTCCAAAGGCAGACCAACATGCAGACTGCTCACAAGAGAGCTGGCAATGAGGGGGACCTGACTCTCCCCAGAATCAGGATGCAGACAGCGAGCGGTGCTGTGTTGTACCAGGAAAGCCCCACTGCCACCAGGACAACTGAGACCCAGAGGAGAGAGCCCTGCAGGGAGCTGGCTCTGGAGCAAGGCTTCTCCCAGACACAGGGACTTGCCATGACAGCACATTCACCACAAGCAGAGCTCTAGTCCATTGAGGGAAATGATACACAGGTGCTTTGTCTTAATTGCCCTCAACAGCAGCCAACCCCCACACCCAGCAGTTCCAGAAAACCAGAAGCACAAAACTGCGTAAATCCGGCTGAAACGAGCCAACTCAGTTTGTACTAAGCCTGTCCCCTGCACAGCTCCAGGAAGACTAAAAGCAACCCTCAGGCAGCAGGAAATCTGCGTGTTCACAGCTTTGTCTGGGCTCTAACGCAGAGGGTCATCAAGATCTGCTTCCCATCACACTGATCCAAGAGAAGTCACTGGTCCTCACCTGGCACAGAAGACAGGCTCTCTTTGCACTCCTTCACACGGGTCTGGAAGTCAGGGAGATCCAAGGCTTCACTTACAAACGCGTCGTGATCGCAGACAGTCACAGCATCTCTGAAAGAACGGGCCATGTACCAGGACAGGGCAGGGATGGAAGTGAAAAGATACCACTTTCAGAGCAAAGTGCCAAATGACTGTGCCAAAGCAGCCCTACAACAGAGGGTCAAACGCTCATTCCAAGTTCCATTTTGAGGGGGGAGGGAAGATACATCTATGAGCGTGGTGTGTGCCAAAAAGGCCTGGTCGGGCTGAGCCACGCCACAGAAATAATCCTGCCACCAAACTGGAGAGCAGGACACTCTCCTGTGCAGCTCCAGAGCTGCAGGGCACTCGAGGGCACTGCAAGGCAGCACGGAGACTCCTGGAAGAAGCACAACCACCCAAAGGGTGCCAGGCACCACTCAAAAGCATAACCTGTGTCCTGGCCCTATATTGGAGCATGTGCAGTACTTCAGACACCTCAAGGAGAGAAACTTAAACCCTTCTTGGCATCTGGGTCCTCCTACTCTGCCCAACAGAGCCAGAAATACGAGCCATGGCAGCTGATACCCCCTTGCACCACGTGGTCCCCTACCCTTAAGATCATCATTACGCAGCTTCACCTATTTGCCACAAAGCAAGTGGAGAAGTCTGCAACTGTTAAACCACCTGGGGCTTTCAGCTCTGATACCATTTGAAGACCCAGAAAGTCTTTCCCTGCCACCATCTGCTCTGCCACAGCCATGGTTGGGTACATGCATGTGAGGTCAAAGCAAAGGACAGAGCAGCACATGAGGCTACAAGAGTGAGGGACAAAAACAACACTCCAAACCACTGGCCAGGTGGTGTTTTCAGACTCATCCACGTCCCTGTCCCTGGAAGCAGGACGCAGTCAATAGCTTGGCAGCTACCCCAGCATGGCCACTAGTAAGAATCTGCAGAAGCCGCCTACACCCTGTCCTCCCTCAGCACACACTCACACTGAAAACACTGTTTCAAGCCAACACCCAAAAACCAGGAAGCCCAAGATTCCTGCTGACCTCTGCCACTCCTGCTGGGGTCTGAAGTGGTATTTCAAGAGGCACTCTCCTCGCACAATGGGCACGCTGCACACAGCTGCCTCCTCCTGCAGAGAAGAGCGACATCAAACACGTCCTTTCCTCAGGGGTTGAGGTACGCAGGGAAGAGGACCTCGCCTACCTTGCTCTGGTAGGTGGTGAGCAGAGGGAAGATCTCAGGGTGGATGAGGTTGAGTTGGGTTTGGATCTTGTAGCTGCGTGCGTTGTGCACAGCGGAGGAGTTCTCATTGAGCACCAAGTGCTGAGTTCCAGACCCAAATCTGTAAGAGGACAATAAAACACATCAGAGCTTCAGCCTCAGGTTACAGTTGGGCAAGTGTGCATGTCTGAGCCATAAGCTAAAACCTCACCTGAGCGAGTGGAGCCCTGCTGCCACCCAATAGCTATTTCTACTCTGGGGAAAAACATCTGCACCATAAGAACACACTGCTGCCCAACAATGACATGAAACCAATTAGAAGACCACACACCTTTCCATCCATTGCTGGTAGCGGCTGTCTCGGAGCACTGACTCTGGAGTCATGTGAATAACCAAGGCCACCTGGTTCTCAGGAAGCCCTTCTTGGTACCTGGGACACATTCAAATGCAGAAGGAACACAGAATCACAGAATCTTCATGGTTGGAAGGGACCTCTGAGATCATAGAGTCCAACCACAAAAAAAAATTAACCCAAAACAAATGAGATCATAGAGTCCAACCACAAAAAACAATTAACCCAAAACAAACAAAAAAAACCCCAAAAAACACCCCAAAAAACACCCCAAAAAACAAAAGCCCACCCACAAAACAGACACAAGCCAACAATCCCAGGCACTAGAGCATGCCCTGAAGTGCCACATCTACACATTTCTTAAATACCTCCAGGATGGTGACTCCACCACCTCCCTGGGCAGGCTGTTCCAGGGCCTGACCACCCTCTCAGTAAAGTAATTCTTCCCAATATCTAATCTAAACCTCCCCTGCCCCAACTTCAGACCATTTCCTCTGGTCCTGTCATTATTCCCTTGGGAGAAGAGGCCAACCCCCACCTCTCTACACCCTCCTTTCAGGGAGTTGTAGAGGGCAATGAGGTCTCCCCTCAGCCTCCTCTTCTCCAAACTCAACATGCCCAGTTCCCTCAGCCTCTCCTCACAGGACTTGTTCTCCAGACCCCTCCCCAGCTTGGTGGCTCTCCTCTGGACACCCTCCAGCAGCTCAATGTCCTTCCTGTGGTGAGGGGCCCAGAACTGAACCCAGCCCTCGAGGTGAGGCCTCACCAGTGCCCAGTCCAGAGGCACCATCACCTGAGCTTCAGTCCTCCAACCCCTCCCCACTCCCATCTTGCTACTACCTGAGATTTGGGCAGAACCCAGATTTTAAGAGCACAGCCCAGGAGCTCCAGGCTGCACAGGGCACAAGGCTCAAGCTCACTATTTGCTGAAACCTCCACTCTCCCACCCAGGGGAGTCCCTCTCCTCCAAGGAGAGGAGGATCTGCAGAGCCTTTCAGAAGCTCAACATGCTCCTGCTCCTGTCCCTACAGAGACATTACGTGCAGTCCAGGCTTCCACCATACATGGCAGCAACAATCTCCCCAGTAGGACACCAGTGCACATTCCCTTTTCTGGAGGCCCCTGAGGCCAGACAGGCCTGGCCACAGCTACAGCCCTGGGTCCTGCACAGGTCTGCCTTTCCCAGAGGGCTCAAAATGTACCACCAGTCCTTTCTCACATCTCTGGCTCCTTAACAGCACCAAAGACTCAGACACCAGCCACAGGAACAGACACATCCTGATAGAAGAGCTCCTCTTTGGCAAAGCTCAGCAAAGATGCCTTCCCCCAAACACACCAGGTCGTGCAGCCCCGCTACCTTCGGAAAGTCGCGTTTTCACAGATGGCATCCACAAAGCCCTCATGAGGACACTCCAGCACAATGAACACCGGGCCAGGATCAGCAGGGGTGCACAGTTCTTCAGGGAAGAGCTGCAGGCAGGTACACAACGGTCACAGCACAGTAAAGCTCCACACACAGCCATTCTTGCACCATTGTGCCTGACGCTGGGCAGCTGCTCTGCCCGCCAGCCTCAGCGGGCAGCTCCACGCACGCTCTCTCCAGGCTCAGCAAAGCCCTTCTCCTTCCCTTTCTGCTCTCATTACACAACTTCACATTTTGCTGTGTGACAACAAATCCCAACCCCACTCTCAGAGCAAACCACAACCCAATGTAAGGAAGGGAATTTTAGCAGCTTCTAGGTTCCCGCAGCAGATTCAGATTCAGGTAGTAAGAGCTCACTTGAAAGAAAAAAAGGCTTTGGGAGATTCTTACGACACAAAGATGTGTCAGTCCTAGCCCTCAGGTTAGGATCTTCATTTACACATCACCTGGGACATGGCCAGAGCTGGCTCTGCCTCTTGCTTCAGACTGGTCTTTGAGAGATTGAGACCCTGCACACAGGAACCACTGAACTGCTTTTGGTCCAAGAGGTACAGAGAAAGTATGGAGGGAGCGACAGCTACGCAGGTATTCACACCCCAGATTTAAAACACACTGGGATTAGCTCCACTAGTTCACTCCTACACCTGAATCAGCTTTGGGAAGGGGGGGATGAAGAAGCTCTGACAAATAGCAGACATACAGCCACACACACAAATTCATTACAGAGCGTATTTCCCTAATTGTGCCCCAAGAGCAACAGCCCCAGACACAGTCCCCACATTCAGCAACAACTTGGGGCTGGAACAGAGACCAGTCACTAACCCAAAGTAGTCACTCAAAGCTCAAAACCAGTAAAACCCATGCCAGCCTCTTAGCAGGGATGAGAGGGAAGAGGCAGACCACCATCACCCACCCCTGCCTCAAGAACGAGCATTAAAAAAACAAGCAACACAACTGTCCCAATGTCTACTGACAGGGAAAACATTCTGTGTAAAAACATTGCCACCCTCCCTCCTTCAGCAGGCTCACAGGATGACAAAGCCACAGCAGACAACACAGACACACCTTACCTCTCTGCCTTCCCAAGTGATGCTCTCCCCATTTTTGAGAGCTGTAATTATGGGAAGAATGGCTGGAGTTCCCCTGAAAACAAAGCCATAGAAATATTTAGGTTGCCAGCATCAACATGCCTGGTGCTGCCCCATCCTCCAGGCTGGGATCTTGTACTCACACTGGCAGGCCCATCTCCTGTGCTTTAGCTGCTAGGAATTTTCCCTTCTTTGGGTGGATCTGAAAAGAGTTAAATAAAACAGAATTATCAACCAAATAATAAAGGCCAGGAAACAAGATCCACATACTTTCAGTTTAAGCGTTTCCCCACAAGCCAAGAGATTTTTTTCTTTTCAATTCCACCTCTACTAGTTGAATTTACTCCCAAAAAGCTTTTATTGGACGTTCTGGTTTCCAAGATCACACTGCTGCTTCTTGCTCCCTTCTGTAGCCAAATAAGCAGGACACTTCTCTGCTGTAAGCATTAAGCAAGAATGGAACCCATATACTCTTAGTTGGCTGCTCTCTAGAGAACACTTTTATAAAAATGTCTAGTTTTTACACATTGCTACTCATGTTACAGTTACTCTGACCTTTGGAGAGTAGAATCACAAAAGAACTTCAAAGTGCTGCTTGAAAACGTTATCTCAAGTTAAACTTATTTAGCGAGATGAAATGTCCTAATGACATCAGGAAGCATTTCTCTACAGAGGGGTTGGCCAAACCCCAGAACAGGCTTCCCGGAGAGGCAGCTGATGCCCCGAGTCTGTCAGTGTTTAAGAGGTGTTTGGAAAATGCCCTTGATAGCATGCTTTAACTTTTGGTCAGCCCTCAAGTGGTCAGGCAGTTGGACCAGATGATCGTTGTAGATCCCTTCCAACTGAAATATTCTATTCTGTATCGATTTAGAGATCTTTGTGTCCAAGCTTACTTTACAAAGGAAAGCCATCACCAGATCGGGATGCCTGCTGGGACACTTCTGTTCATAACCTGTAAAAGAAAGGAAAACTACTCAGAATCATTGCTATCATTTTTCTCAAAGTCAAAACATGTCAGTGTTTGCTAAAGCAGTAATAGGAACAACAGCACCCAGGCAACTCAGAGCCCAGCAGCCAGATGTTACAAAAACCTGAGGTCAGATAGCCCACGTTTCAGCTACAAGAAACCAAAATAAAGTACAAGACTGAAAAATACAATCAACCCCAATGTTCACTCATGACTAAATTACAAAGGCTGGAGCACCCAGTCCAGGCAGGAACAAACTGCTATGGGGACTACTCACACACCACGTAGGAATCACGTCTGATTTCTAGGTCTTTTTTGTTCTGTGTCAACTTTTAAAGTACCAGAATTCATCCTGTTCCATGTAATCCTTCAGCTGATTTCTCTACAGACCTCCCTTCCAGAGAGCGAACAGCCTGGAGGACAAATGCATGTCCTTGATTTGGTTTTATTTCATTAAAGTTAAAAAGATAATTCCATTTTTATCACCTGTTTTCTTTGGGCTTTCTTTTTCCTTGCCCTCCTCCAAGCTTTGCTGGGCAACACTTGGAGATCCAGGCTCCGTGTCCCCTTTGGGGCTATTTCCACCTTGGGTTGATGCTCCAGGACTCCGAGGCAATGGACTTTCAGCAGCTAGTGGTTTTCCTGTCCCAAATCCAATAAAACCAGACAAAGATCACTCAGAAAAAAAGGACAGGTAAGAAAAGCACAAGCAGCATTCCCTGTTCCATGACAGGCATGTTTAAACCACAACAGAACACAGAGCTTTTCCCCTGAGTCTGACTTGCATCGCATCCTCCAGCCGCTTGTTACAGGAGCTGTCTGTCATTCAAGGCCTTCAGATGCTCTCAGAAGTGAAGCCTGTCAGTGCTACGCCTGCAATTTAAACATGGCAGTTTCCAGCAGTAAGAAAACTCAGCTGGCTAAGACAACTGAACCCAGTGCTGTTTCACAAGTCACTCTATACACCTACACCTGAAGGAAGAAACCAAGGCCCTGACTCAGCACATCTTGTTTCTTTGAAAGAGTTTTCTCCTGAGGAAAATATGCAAATTCATAAACCTCTCCTTACTCAGGCTTGCAAAGAGAAGCCACTCCTTTAACCACCTTAAGCACGACTACTGAACAAGTGCTTCTCCTCTCTGACCACAGCGTCACACACTCACCTGTAAGAGGTATTTGGTGGACTGTCATCGTCTCATCCTTATACTCCGGCTCTGTGTGCAACTGCACAGCTGTAAAGAGAACAACACAGGCATTGATAAGTTCATGAGAAGAGATTCATACTCAACAAGAACTTAAACCTGGAAAATATCTGCTGAATGTCCCCCTTCCCTTTCTCTGCCCAACTGCAAAGATCAGTGAACAATCAGAGCTATCAAAAGCCCCCTGTTCACAAAATTCCTCCACAACACCACAGTGAGTTCACTGGTAGTCTCTGGAAGTAAACTGCCCTCGCAGGGCTTCAAAACAGGGATGTCTACAGGTCAGACAAACTGGCAGCTGCTTACCAGAAACAGAGCCAGGAACATGGTTTTTGTTCCTACGATGGCTTTGAACAGTGTATTAGATCAAAACAAATGTTTAAAACTTTCTTTGCGTGGCTCTAAACCAGATGCATTTACCCTGAAGTTGTTACTATTCGATGGAACTTTTGTCTACAGCTGAAACAAAAAGTTATAAGTTCGTATTAACTACTAATCCACATACCTAAATCCATCCTTTTTAGGGGTCCAGGAAAGAGACGAATTGCTTTCAAGTAGTTTTGCTGGAAAAAAGTACAGTGTATCAGGAGGCCACATCCAAGCAGCGCAATCAGAAGCACCACTTTCAGGAGCTGCAGCTACTTTCAGTGAAGTCAAAGGCTCCATGCCCAGTCAGACCCAAACTGGGCAGCAGCCAGCCAGGAAGCACTGGGCAGCTGTCCCACCTGCAGCGGGTGTTACTCATTCAGAGAGAAAGGAAAGTAAAGAACCACTCTCTCCATCCTGTCCATCAATGCTGCAGATATCGCAAGGAAATAAAACAATGCTGAGGATTGGAAATCTTCAGCCTAAAAGTGGCACTAGGCTGGGAAGTGTCACATTAAGCAAGAAATCATTCTATTAAAAGAAAACAGGGAGGGAGCAGACAGAAGAACAAAGGGCACCCTTTTCCCAAAACATGATTTACCAGAACATTAGCTAACAAGAGAGTTTTAAGAAGTCTGATGCTGTCATATATGTAACTGATGAGATTTGCTTTTAAAAGCCAGCCCTTCTGACAGAACCTTCGGGCTGGCACTGACTCAGAGCAGCATTTTACACGCCTTTGACAGCAGCTCCCCTAGTTCCAAGGTAAGCTTTAAGATATGAAGGGTTCACTCTCCCTTCTGCGAGCTTCCCCTACTTACCAGCTTTGGTGGCCCTAGGAAAACACATCTTTGAAGCCCCATAGCCTTTAATGTGAGAATCATACCTAAAAGAAAGGACAGAAACAGCTTTGCTTTATCATAGCCCCACTAACATCTGGTGGACAATGCAAGAAAGATCCCTCTCAGCACCCAGGACTGCCATGAAAACCAGGACTGAATCAGACTCAGTTTTGCTGCAGCTTTCTGGTAGTTTCAACAAGTCATCTAATGCCGCCACCAAAGAAAATATCTCCAATTCAGAATAGGTAACCTGAACAAATTGTTCATCTCTTTTCTTGAAGATTTCCACAATTTTAAGGGACAAGATCCTAAGTGCTCTGTTCTGAACCCACCCTGCTTTGAGAACGGAGCGGGCCAGAAACAGTTGTAGGTCCCTTTGAACCTGAATGAGTCTGACTGGAGAACAGCTCCCTGCTGACAATACAGCACTGGTAACGCCTCCTACTTGACAAGATTTGGGGAAGATAAAGCCACACAAGCTTGGGGAGGCAGCGCCTCTTCCACCACGTGTCCAGGAGTGCTGTCACAGTGCCCACACTGCAGCTGGAACCACCGCAGAGCCCCACGTGTCACCCAGCCGCCCCGACAGCACTTTTCCTCCTCCACGGCTCCAAAAAAGCCCCACACACACCGCACCACCCACCCGGCAGCTGGCACACCAACGCCTGTGGCCTGGTGGCCTGGACCACTGCTGCCTGTGGCCGGACCCGATGCCAGGCTGCCAGCAGGGCGCCCAGCCAGCCCCTCCCCCGCTCACCTGGCAGCCCCCCGACATTGGCCCAGGCCACCCGGCTGAGGAAGATGCTGTCCAGGTGGGAGATCTTCAGCCTGAGGGGCGAGACAGGGGGAGGGCAGGGGTCAGCAGGGACCGATGCAGCCCCGGGGAGGAGAACGGGGGCGGCCCCCCCCGTCACCCCCACTTACTTGTGCTCCTGCATGGCCCGCTGCGTGCCCTCGCCGCAGTTGAAAAGATACCTGAGGGGAAAGCGGGGGTCAGGGCACGGGGCGCCCCGGGAGGGGGGTCCCCGCGGCCTCTCGCACTCACCGGTTAAACTCGGAGAAGATGTACACGGCGGCGCCCGCGTCGCGGCCCCCGGCCGCAACCACCTG